GAACCTTTTTTTTTTTACTTCCCGATGGATAATGCTCTTAACGTGTAACTTTAATTTATCACGTTGCATAGTAGTGTATAGGGTGGGAAATTTGTAAATGATCTTGATTTCTTTTTTATTTTCAAAAGTTCTTTGTCTTTGAATTTGTCAACAGCCTTATTTGACTCATACCACTTCTGGGGGGAAATGACAAGACACGGTATTTTGGGACCCCTCTTTAATGATACACAAATATTAATGTTATGTTAATAACTTCATCTGAACAAGATCTGGTTCTGATTGTGAAACAAGAACTTGGGATTTGAATAATTCCCGACGAGAACACTTAATTCCCTGTAAATTTTTGAGGACTCACTTTTCCGCGGCCCAACACTATGACGCTCACATTCAATAAAGTAGTCTTGTTTGTTGTAAGATAATTGGCATATGTCACAGTGCTTACGTCACAGTGCTTACGGAAAGTTGATTCTGGAACATCCATGTTGGCTATATTCTGCGTGAATATCATTGTTCTTATAACACTTTTACAGTATAAATATTGGGTTGATTAAATCATTACTCTAAATATAGCTTATATGCTTATATTCTAATATGATGGATTAGATTTGTTTCGTTCAAGTTTGAGAATCTTTTTATAATAACCGGAATTTATAGATTGAAAAAATTAGATGATGTTGAGCATGTTTATTCGACTATTCACACGTGGAAGACCATGGTAATATGGACGCAGTAGAGTGGGTGTGAGGAGAGTTACTCTTTCGCAATCAATAAATATATGATCATTTTTTTAATCCACTCCACATTTTCCATTGATTAACAACAACATAAGGTAAAATATCGCGCGAGTTTGCATTTAAAATCCACCAAATTGAATTTACGTTATTATGTAGTCGCCATCGGTGTTATGTTTATTACACCAAAGTACTCGTAGACTGATTTCTTGTGCTGCAGTATTCATGTTAGTAAGTCGCAGGAGTGTGGTGTTATCAGCTACATCTGCAAATAAAAAGTTAGCACCACGGTCTGAATATTATAACTTGATACAGTTAATACATTCATTAACGAAATTGAATTTGTTCATTACTCTAAGTAAAATGAAACACTTAATGTTGTCAAAAGCTTTGCGACAGTCTAAAAATAGAGTGGCGCCTTGGCTAGTTTTAGCATAATTGATTACATCATATACAAACTTTACATTTTGACCAATAAAATCCACGAATTTCCGAGTGTCACAGAATGGTTGAGTTCTACAAATAAAATTGAAAAACGCAGAAAAACGTTTTTTTTTT